TGCTGAACGGGGTAAATCCAGCTTGATCAAACTTTCCCACTTTTAATGATCACCAGCTTTGTCCTGATCCTCAGGTCTTGACCACTTCTCTTACACATCTCATCTCTGAGACTGTCTCTGGTCACAGTTGCTCAGTCCTTCTGCCTAGGTGGTCTTCTCCATCCATGTCTATATGTAAATAATAGAAAGCAACTAAGTAAACTTAGAACTTAGTGGTTCAGACAGCTGAGGACAAGACTCTTTAGGTCTAGCTCTGGACTTTGTCTGGCCATCACTTCTTACTACTCACCAAGTGCTTCAACTTTTATCTGATATATTTGCTAAACATAGAAGAGAAAGGAAAGACTTGCTCAAAGGACGATAGCACAGAGTCCTCGGTACAGGTCAGGGACCGCTACGGGTAGATGTGCATTGATAATTTTTATCTTTTCTTCAAGAATCTAGCTTATAATGAGAATTTATTCTTGATACACAGTCCCATCTAACTAATCTGTTACTGCTAGCTGACAGACGCCACATTGTCCCTTGCCTTTGCACCCACTCAAAGATGATGGTCTTTCCAGCAGGTCTGCAAAGATGTGCTTCCACCAGGGCAAAGACCAGTGCCACCAGCCAGAGCAACCCTCATGCCACAGCAGGGAAGGGGTGCCACGGGAGCCGTGGTGGATCCAGATGCCATGGGACTAGCGGTGGATCCAGTTGCCACGGGAGCAGAGGATCCGGATGCTGTGGGAGCAGCGGTAGATCTGGATGCCACGGGAGCAGCAGTGGATCTGGATGCCACAGGAGCGGTGGGGGATCCTGCCATGGAAAGCCACAGGATTGCCAGCAGGAAATTTACCAAGTACCCTCAAAGATGAAGTGATCAGGACATTATCTGCATGTTATACGCATGCAAGTCCTTGATCTTGTGCCGAGTTCAGAAAGCCTTGCATGTCTCCTAGTAATCTTCAAAGAAAATGTCTCCTCTCCCTTCCCTGGTGAGTCCTGTACCTCTGATGAGCTCATCTGTGGATGCTAAAATAAACTGTGTATGTTCACACCAGTCCGGATTTCTCTCTAACAGCCTGTGACTATACAGAAGCCATTACAATTTGGAGTTCATGAGAGTTTTGCGTTCATGATTTTTCTCTCACCTGGTGTTTCATATCGCAATACAAGACACCTTGCGCTTGTTTCACAGCCGTGAAGTTACCCTGCTCAGACACAGGCAATAGGGGTAGGCACGACCACGCTCTCCCTTATGGACTGCAAAGGAAAAGAGATGGAATAAAGATTTTTAAATGCTGATGTTTTAGGAGGAGCTCTCCTCCACACCACCTTCCCACAGAGCTGGAGACACAAACCCCCTCACCAAGACCCCATGGGCTTCATTGCACAGTCCTCAGGGTCAGCTACGGGTACGACCATGGGGCAGAAAAAGTCCTGTTGGCAAAGGCATCCGTGACGGGGCAGAAACTCCTTTTTTTTTTGCCATCTGACCCCAAGGTGCCATCCTTGGGGCACGCATCTCCACACGCTTGCTACAAACCCCCCAAAAAGCCTTCCTAGAGACCCTCTGCCCGACACTTCAAGACCCCTGGGTCAAGCCAGGGATGTTGCAAGGTGCTGGAGTTACACAATGAACTGATCGATTTCTTCTTGGCTTGCAATTAAAAAGCATTGTGCAATTTATTGGTCTGGTATTGCCATTCATGAAATGTCTGTTGCCCTGATAAGATTATTCTCGAGTGTGTCACGATGATCAGAAGTATCTGGCATTGCTGAAGGGTGCAGACAGCAGCTAACTCCCTGAACAAGCCTGCCTGCTTTCGGTGTAGGAATCATTTGAAAAGGCTGGTTACGCAAGTCTGGCGTTTGCCTTCAGCCCCCATTGCCAATGCCATTTTCGAGGCGTGTTAAGGCAGACAGCCACAAAAACTAGAGGTGCCCAGGACAGCTGGCTGGTTGATGCTGATCGTTAACAAACTCAATTAAACTATTAAACAATTAAAACACGAGGAACTGAATACAGCATGGTGTTGAGAGCCAAAAGTTACTTTGAGTCTCTTTTCACGGAGAGTGTTTACCATATTTCTTCTGTTGCCAGAACAAAAGACAATTAAAGAGAAGTGATCAAGGCCGGGTCTCCCAAACAACATTAGCAAAGGTGGGATTGGGCTGAGCCTCCATCTCACTGTGGTCAGCGTCTGGGAATCGCAAAAAAACTTAACCAGCATGGAGAAAGAAAAATAAAAGGCAGGAGAGGTGGACCAAAAATACCAAATGCTCCAGCATCCCTGTGGGCAAGTGAAATATTTTCCAGCCAATGTTTTCCAAGTGCTTTTGCACCGACAAAATCATAGCACTTCCCTATTTCATCTAGCAATACTGATTTCAGCCTTTTATTTGCTGCCTGTTTAATCACTGAAATGTCTTCCAGAAGTCATGGCAGAAAAGGGCAAAACAAGATCTGTGGTCCTGAGCACTTCCTAGCCCACGCAGCAGAAGTACAGGAAAGGTACAGGGAGTATCTCAAATTATTGCTTGCGATTAGCTCTCACTGCAAACGTGGTACCTGGCCCATGTGGGTCTGCGCATCCATCCGAATAACGCTCAGATTCGTTGGCCAATTACAAGCTAATTGGGGAGGAGGGAAAAGTGCTCCAAAAAGGATGTTCCTACAAGTTTGGAGAAAGCCCCCGGGGTCTGCCAGCTCCCCACAACGTGGCAGCCACCCAAGGCCACCGTGCGTCACCGAAGGCAGCACCCATGGGAGCCCTTCTCTTCCACGTGGCAGCACCGAAGCCACTCACAACCTGGAAAAAAACCACCGGCGCTGCTGCTCCGGCATTACTCATGGGCTGAAAGTTAACCACATAATTATGTACCTCGCTAATCCTGGATCGCTATCTAGGGCAGGTGTTCCCCCTTCCAAAAATAAGAATCCCAACCGCTTTTGGTCCTTCTCACAACAGCAGGAAACTTTTGACTGACAAAAATGTTTTCTAGAGGCTGTCTCTTCTCTCTCGTCACCACTCCACCGTATTTCAGCTGGTTTTAAGAGAAACGAGCCAACAGTGATATGAGTCAAATTGCTGCTAAGGAAGAGTTGTTGACCATGCCAAAGGTCAACTTATGCCAACTTATAGGCACATCTCTAGGTGTACGGGCATTTGCAGGACTGGAACACCTCAAGACATTTTAAAAGGGTGGTGTGATTTAGGAATACGATGTAATTCCTCCCCCCTAAACACAAAGCACTCCCAGCTGCGATCAACACCAAAAACAAACTGGCAAAGCTGTGGAAACCGGGGCCACCCACACTACTCCCCCATCGGAGCTAAGCACAGGTAGAGCTGGCAATTAAATATTTCTGATGCACAGGAAGGACGACCAATAAAAGGCGATACCCAGTGCGGATGAGGTGAGTCACGCAAGCAATCTGAAGAGTGGGGAGGCAAAAAAAAAAAAAACAAACCACCTCCATCAACGAATTAAATGAACAGGCAGACCTCTGCAACAGGGAGGTGCTTTGTTCCCAGGTGGGGTGGGCAGAGAGGGTATAAAAGCGCTCCTGTCCCGGAAAGCCTCATTCCCTCTTTGCCTTTTCTCTGTAGGAGCATCTCAGGTAAGAGTGGCGATGCTGCGGGGCTTTGGGGCTTGGCACAGCGTTTGAAATTCTCCGGGAGGCGAGTGGGTTTGGAGCAGGCTGAGCCCCACGCAGGGAGGGGGGGTGAGGAGGGAGCGCAGGGGATGCCGAAAGAGAGCAGAGGGATGTGGACTTGGATGGAGCCTCTGGGGTGTTGCTCTTCTCTCTCCGGGAGCAAGACAGCTCTGCTTTGGAAAGCCTGCCATGGGGATGCTCCCAACATCTTTGGCTACAGCTTTGCTGGGACAATCGCACAGGCAGTACAAGAAGCTGGTGCAAGGTTTAAAGTCAGTTGTGGGATCTGGCTAAGACTGGATAAATATACCTCCAGATTTCTCTTCCCTGGAAGAGCAGAAGCAGGAAAGGAAAGCCCCTGACAGCTTCTCTCTCCCCACAGGTCACCCCAAAACACAACGATGTGCTCCCGCCAGGACA